GGGATATATACAGAATCTTTTCTACCTAGTATAATATTGGGTGAAAGCTGTATACATTAGCAGGCCCTCCTGGCGAGTAATTATATCGACTTGGGTCAGAAATTGATCAGAAGACTGGGAGTGCTTTCTGATTCCAAATTAATTAAATATGTTCATTATATTTTATAACTTCACTTAATCCTTAATTCCATTGCTCAACGAAGTACTTCAAAGATGAAACTCATTCCTGTGATTCAAGATGGAAGAATGCTGACCTTCCCTTAGCAGCCACTTAGAAGCACGCAAGATCCTAAGCTTGACTCTGGATGAAGAGAGAGAACAGAAATGGACCCAGTATTGAAAAATGGTAGAAGATGACGCGTTTATCTCCTAGGCATATTACTGTGCGAAAGTATCTGTCATGTGGAGATTCAATTTAGGACACTCCCCGATGATCTTTAAAAGGTTACATAACGCTAGATGTTTACTTAAGACGTTAAAACGGCAGGCGCAATGACCACGGTTGAATCCTCAATGCACTCCTGGACGCCGAGGCACGTCGATTGCTCGACGTAGATCAAGCCAGCTGAGCAAGTGCCGAGACCCCATCTCTACTCAACAACTAAGAAATTAATGCCAACTATATATATAAAAAAATTAGCGGGCATGGTGCGCAGCCTGTAGCCAGCTACCGGTGAGGCTGACATAGAAGGATGCTGTGAGCCCAGGAGATTGAAGTGCTGTGAGCTATGCTGACTGCCACGGCACTCAACTCGGCCTGGGCACAAGTGTGACTCTGTCTCAAAAAAAAGAGTTAAAAATCTAGCAATGTTTTTCTTAAAATTTGTATATACCTTTGAATTATTTATTACTACTCTACTTATTGAGTATTTCAGGACTGTGGGCAGTTTAACAGAAAAAAAACAAAACAAGAAAGAGTGGCATAAATATATAAAGGATTTATTTTTCTAATGTACAAGGACATCTGAAGGAGCTCATACATGGTTAAACCAAGTCATCAAGGGTCTGTTCTCCTTTCGTTTTTCTCTTCTGCCATGCTTAACCTGTAACTTTCCTCCTCTTAGTTGCAAGATGCTTGCTATACTAATGGGAATCATGTTTGTATTAAGGAAACAGAAGGAAAGGCACAAGGCAGAGAAGCCTTCTCCTGGAAAGGTTTCACTGCCTTTAATTAGGAAAGGAAGCCCTTCCCAGGGATTGCTGACTCCCGCCACTGGCCAGAGTAATGTCACATGGACACGTGCACGCACACACATATGCACAGCTCCAAGCTGGGAATTGAGGATTTTGCTTTCCTTCCTCTATCATAGAGGGAGATGAGGGAGAATGGGATTGAATTGGTTATTGAATAAGCCACGTTATGGTATGTGTATCACGGAGCATAGGGAGCATTTAAAACTTTTGACACTTAACATATATGTTTCTTTAGGCTACACTATACTCATTGTATTAACTGTAATGTCAAACCCCAAATCTGTGTCTATAGAATATGAAAATCATTCACTGGCTTTGTTTGATAAGGTTTACATTTTAATAACAAGATAAGATGTTAAAATAAGAGTGTTAAAGTTAAGTTCAGATATTAGGAATATTTATTATTATTCTTTTCTTTCCTCTGGCAGCCTAAGGACATAAATGAAGAAGATGTAAAAACTGCATTCTATTCATGGCTGCAGCTGTCTGCTACTACCATGCTCCCTTTGATAATATCAGAGGAAGAATTTATTAAGCTGGGAATTAAAGATGGTGGGTAAATTTGTTATTTTGACATTTTTTCTATTTACATAGTAGTATTTTTTGTTTTAAGAGATGGTCTTGCTTGGTCATCCAAGCTGGAGAGCAATGGCATGATCATAGCTCACTGCTTCAAACTCTTGGGCTTGGCTGATCCTCCATCTCAGCCTCTTGAATAGCTGGGACTAGAGGTGTGGGCCACCATGCCTGGCTAGATATTTGTATTTTTTATTTTTTTTGTAGTGAGGGCGTCTCCCAGGCTGGTCTTGAACTCCTGGCCTCAAGTGATCCTCCCACCTTAGCCTCCCAAAGTTCTGGGGTTATAGGCTTGAGCCACTGTGTCCATCCAGTTGTACATTTTTAATTGTTTTTCCAACCTGTGACACATGTGAACAGTGAAATATAATAACGATAATTAAACAGTAGATTTTACATATTGCAGAATGCCTTTCATTTAAATACATTTGACATTTAAAATCTTAAATTATTTCATTTCAGTTTCAGTACTAACTCTCCATTTATTACTTTCTTTTTAATAGGATTAAAGGAGTTTTCTCTGAGTGTAGTTCATTCTTGGGAAAAAGAAAAAGAAAAAAATATTTTTCTGTTGAGTACCAATCTACTGCAGAAGACCACAATACAAGTAATTACATACTACTGAATATTTATAAAATAATATATGTTAAATGTGATTAATAATAAAATATGAATTTCCTTTAAACATCTTACATCCTGAAGTATATTAGAAACCCAAATGATAAGAATAAGGAATAACTTGATTTAAAATATTTTATTCTATAATCTCTCTAAATTATCTATACACATTATTTATCCTGAATTTACAAATGAATGTCTTAGCACAATTAAGTTTCAAAAATAGAGTTGATTGTGTTAACTGGCAAATGGATCATGATTTAAAATTCTTTTACTATTGAAACAAAAGAAAACTTAGTTTTAGGGGTTTGATTCTAAAAATTCACATTTTTACATGCAATTTTACTACACTTATTTTTTGACAATTCTTAAATTCTCAATTCTACACAAATATTATCAGATCACTTTTCTTCCAGAAGTATTTTAAGTGTGGTCTTTTTAGAATATTATTTTTTAGTTAGGCTATACATTCTTGTCATTATAGAATTGATAATGCTCTCGTCTAGTTGTTTAGAATTTCAGTGGTTTGGAAGTAGATATTATTTCTTTATTTTTGAAATATAATTGAAACAATATAATTCAGAGAAGATACAAATGTAAGAATTGTGAAAAAGATAATTGTGACACAAATCAAAATTGCAAATAAAAATATGTCTGTTAAATTTATTAAAAAGATGACATTCTTTCTGCTTATTGACCATAAACATTTATGTTCCCTGGATGAGTAAATTGTTTTTGTCAAGGATGTTTTAAGTAGTGATATTGCATGCCTAATTTATCTGTTCTCTCTGATGTAACAGAATCAGCAATTCACTTTTTCTGGGACCCTAGAAAAACAGGCCAAAGACATACTTTGAAATGTAAAACTGATTTTTCCTTGCTACTGTAGGTCCTTCTAGATCCTATGGTAAAAGAAGAAAACAGTGAGGATATTGACTTTATTCTTCCTTTTTTAAAGCTGAACTCTTTGGGGTAAGAAGTTATGGCCAAACTAGTATGTTTAAAACAGAGACATGTTTTGGCAGTATCTCTGGAAGGTTTTTATGTGTAAATGTTACAGTAGATGTTAATGTCAATGAATGATCTTACTAATGCATTAGTAGATATTTTTTTCAAGGATTGTCTCTATCTTCACACCTAGCTTAGTAATTTGACTTATCTTCTTAGATAACTAGAAGTCTGAAGCTTATTAGAAATTTTACTTTGAAAATTAATTTGTGAGAAGAAAGCAACTAAATATCATCTGGATCATATGTGCTTGGATAAAACAATAATTCTTGGAGCAAATAAGTATATTTTAAAGGTTAAATGCAAAAACATTAATTGAATGTTCAAAAATATTTCAAATTAAGTTATTCCTTCACCATTTTACATTACTGCATAATTGAGATTATTTGTATTTTTAGAAAAACTCTAAAAAGCTCCTCTTAGTTTATTTCTTATACAATATGAGAATCTCATATAAACATTACCTCTTTAGAATTCTTCACAGAGGCTTTTGGTAGATAGATGTAGTAGTAGTGATCTGATTTCCTATAATAGTATTATCTAGAAATGATTTAGTAAAAGGCTTAAGCCATAAACTAAAAATGTTTAAATATAGCATACTATTCGTTAATATAAAGTAAAATCTCCTCAGTTCAGACTCTAATTTTAGGGACTTATTATTTCTGTTATCATAAATAAAGTAGCAGTCAGTCAATAAGTAGGTTAAAGTTCATGTTTGTATCAGCTACAGGTGAAACTCGATTTCAAGGTGATGTTTAAGCAGAAATACGTTTTCAGTTATCCCAAGCACTTCAAAAGCATCCATTTGTGATTATGTTGATTACCTAACTAAAAGTCATTTGGGGATGAGGGAGTATTTGTGTGCTTTAAGACAGATTCCTTAAGGAGTTCTATTAAGGCAAAACTTTTAGTTACTGCACATGTTTGAAAGTAATAAAGTTAATTTTAAAAGCTGTGACTCAGATTTGGCATTAATATTTACTTTCTCTCACGTATAGGAAATTTTCTAAGATTTTACTCTTTTAAAATTCATTAACTTGTCTGAGAAGAAAAGTTTCAGCATTTTTTTATAGCTAGGTTTTATCCTGCTTCAGTCTTTTATCCTGTAACAATTTCTGTATTTTGCAGAGGAGTGAATTCCTTAGGCATATCCTCCATGGAGCACATCACTCATAGCCTCCTGGGACGCCCTTTGTCTCGCCAGCTGATGTCCCTTGTGGCGGGACTGAGGAATGGAGCCCTTTTACTTACTGGAGGAAAGGTGTGTGCTTAAAATGTGCTCATTTTCACTAATAACTTTTCATTTCTCTTTCTTTGGGTTTTGGTCAACTAATATAGGGTTGATAATATGAGATATGGAAAGCATTCTTTTATTCACTTATATTTTTGTGTGCCTGCTATTAGATATTGGGGGAGTGAAAATGAATAAGACTGATGTTTTTCCTTTTCTGTGTCAATTGATATAATTATATGATTTTTCTTTTTTAGGCTATTGAGAGGGTGCTGATAGGGTTGATTGACTTTCAAATGTCGAACCAGCCTTGCATACCTGTAATAAATCGCATTTGGCCATGGCATATCATTCTTTATACATTGCTGAGTTCCATTAATATTTGCTAATGTTCTGTTGAAATTTTTTTACATCTCAGTTTATGAGAGATAATAGTTTGTAGTTTTCTGATTTTGTACTGTCTTTGTCTGGTTTTGCTATCAGGGTAATACTGGCCTCTTAAAATGAGTTGGAAAGTATTCCTTCCTCTTTTGAAGGGGGAAGAGATTGTATAAAATTGGTGTTAATTCCTCTTTAAATGTTCGATAAAATCTCCAGTGAAACCATCTGGGCCTGGTCATTTCTTTATTAGTTTTTCAATCACAAATTCAATTTCCTTAATGGTCACAATACAATTCAGGTAATCTCCTTCATCTCAGCTGACATGTAATTGGTGGTTTCAAGGAATTTGGTTCATTTATTCTAAGTTGTTGAATTTATGAGCATACAGCTGTTTGTGATATTCTCTTATTATCCTTTTAAGGACCACAGGATCTGTTGTAATACCTGTTACCTGATACTGGTGATTTGTGTCTTCTCTCTTTTTCTCTCTCTCTTTTTTTTTTTTTTTTTTTGATACAGGGTCTTGCTGTGTTGCCTGGGATAGAGTGCAGTGGCACCATCGTAGCTCACTGCAACCTTAAACTCCTGAGCTCAAGCAATCTTTCCACCTCAGCCTCACAAATAGCTGGGACTATAGGTATACACTACTGTACTTAGCTAGTTTTTCTATATTTTGTAGAGATGGAGTCTCACTCTTGCTCAGGCTGGTCTTGAACTCTTGGCCTCAGGCAGTCCTCCAGCCTTGGCCTCCCAAAGTGCTAGGATTACAGGTGTGAGCCACTGCTCCTGGCTATCTTCTTTTTAATCTTTGCCAGTCTTAATATAGGTTTTCTGTCTTTTTTAAGAGCTTACAGTCATATTCTTTATCAATGCAATATTGTTTCCAAGAGTGCAGTGTGGTCTCTGTGTTTGTGCTTTTTAATTATAAAATTAGACACCTGTAGTCCCAGCTACTCAGGAGCTTAAGCGGGGAGGATTATTTGAGCCCAGGAGTTCAAATCCAGCACTGGCCAATTTGGTGAGATCTAAAAAATAAATTAATTAAGAAAACAGAATAAATAAAATATAGCAGCTACTCTGTGTGTATCTGAATTATCCATGTCAAGTTTCAAAAACGCATCATTTTGGTAGAATATTTATTTTGGAAACACAATATCCTACAGCCTCAGAAACCAGACTTTCACAGTCTCACCTAGGGGTAACATAGTTAATAGGAAGGACAAGCAGAAGACCTGTATTTGACTCCCTCCTCTGTCATGTACTTACTGGCTATAACTTCAGGCAGTTTAAGTTTTAGTGTCTCATCTGTGCTCTTTAGGATTAACTTCACTTAAAGGAGATAATATATATGAAAGAGCTTTGTAAACTAAAAAGTACTGTACAAAGTGAATTACTTTGAGTCAGGAGAAAAGGCCCCTGACTAGGTAAGTGATAATGACAGGTGGGGCCTATACCCAGCACCCATCATTTCTTTACTCTTTGGAGCCATTGACTTTAAATATATGTGCAATACTGTAAACTACAATAATGGTAGTATTTGTTGAGTGCCTTCTAAATTTCAGACTTTGCATATCAAGCTGGGTTGTTTTCTAGTGTGCAGTAATGAAAACAAAATATTAGAACACACTAGCAGGGCTGTTAGAGATAGACAAATGACAGTAGTAAGGAATAATAGTAGATTGAGGGACGTCACTAATATTAAAAGAACTATAAAAACCTACCCGTGTTCAGCCTTTCTAGGGGGCACTATGGCAATGTTAATATGTATACTTTTTGATGTAGTAATTCCACTTCTAGAAATTTATTCTAAGAGTATAATCTGACAAATAAATAAACATATATGTTGATGTTTATTTTAGCTTTATTTATAATAGTTAAAAATTGGAAGCAACATAAATATGTACTAGAAGGGACTTGTTAAAGATACTGTGGTTCAATACATCCCCACAGTGGTAGTGTACTAGGGAGCCAGTGCAGCTGTGTATTTGTTGACATGGAAAAAAGACAACGATTTATTGTTAAGTAAAAAAAACAGATTTTGCAGCCTCATGAATACTGTAATCCCATTTTTATAAATGGGATTTATAAATGTAATCCCATTTTATAAATGTACATAAAATGCGTATGGAATGTTTGGAAAGATGGTAAACAATTGATGATGGTTACCTCTGTGAGGTGGGTTAATTACAGATTTTCTTACCTTTACTATTTATAATTTTATATTTTTACATTTTTTTATAATGAGGAAAAGAAAGCTTTTACTTGAAAAATAAAAAGTGTACATTAGGCCGGGCATCATGGCTCATGCCTGTAATCCTAGCACTCTGGGAGGCTGAGGTGGGAGGATCACTTGAGGTCAGGAGTTCAAGACCAGCATGAGCAAGAGCGAGACCCCATTGCTACTAAAAATAGAAAAAATTAGCCGGGTGTGGTGGCATGTGCCTGTAGTCCCAGCTACTCAGGAGGCTGAGGCAGGAGGATTGCTTGAGCCCAGGAGTTGGAGGTTGCTTGAGCCAGACTGATGATGCCATGGCACTCTAGTCTAGCCTGGGCAACAAAGCAAGACTCTGTCTCAGAAAAAAAGTGTACATTGAATTAAAACCAGTCTAGAGCCATTTAGTATAAAAGTAAATAATTCTGTCTACCTTAGTAGTCATTGCAAGTTGCAGTGTACACAAATTGGTGGTTACAGTAATGATCGTGAATCACTAAGAAACTGTTAATTAAAATTAATTAAGATACGAGGGGCCAGGTGCGGTGGCTCACGCCTGTAATCCTAGCACTCTGGGAGGCCAAGGTGGGAGGATTGCTTGAGGTCAGGAGTTCGAGACCAGCCTGAGCAAGAGTGAGACCCTATCTCTACAAAAAATAGAAAGAAATTAGTAAGACAACTAAAAATATATAGAAAAAAAATTAGCCGGGCGTGGTGGCAGCCTGAGGTCCCAGCTACTCATGAGGCTGAGGCAGAAGGATTGCTTGAGCCCAGGAGTTTGAAGTTGCTATGAGCTAGGCTGACACCATGGCACTCCAGCCCAGGAAACAGAGTGAGACTCTGTCTCAAAAAAAAAAAAAAAGATACTAGGAACATGGGTTATAATTTTTTCCATTAAAAATAGTTGAAATTAGATGAGAATAAGTTTCATTTATCTAGAAAATTTATTTATTGTCATATTATTTTTTATTTATTTAATGTCATATTATTTTATGTCATATTATGACATATTATGTCAATTTATTTAATGTCATATTATTTTCTTCTGGTAATAATTAGTAAAACATTACCTGTTTTTAAAGGTAAAATGTTTAAATATTAGTGATTGCTTTAACTAAGAAATTATAAAAAATAAATTATATGTTTATTTTCTATCTGTGCACTATAATAATGAACATAGGATGTAGCCAGCTCCTAGCACATTAGCAACTTAAAGGAAAAGAGCTATATTTCTGTAACACCTGTATACTCCACACAGCAACTAGAGTGAGGTATACTTATTATTGAGGAGTCTGAATTTTTGTGGTTGCCACAATGACGGAATCTATTTCTGTGGTTGAATATATTGAGAACTCTTATGAAACAATTATTTTTTAGGGGAGTGGAAAATCAACATTAGCCAAAGCAGTCTGTAAAGAAGCATTTGACATGTTGGATGCCCATGTGGAGATAGTCGACTGTAAAGCTTTACGAGGTATGAGCATGGTAATACACTATATAAATCCTTTCTTTGCTACAAAGACAGAAATGTTATTATTAATCCTGTTAATCTGATAAATACAAATATCATCTAATCTTTAATTTTTCTGTTCATTTAGTTGTTGAAATTTCTTAGAGATTTTAAGTTGTTGGCTTTCTAATGTTTTGATAAAATTTCTAAAACTCTCCATATTTGATGGAAGCCTATTTTTTTTTTCCTAGCCAAAATTCATTGTAGACAATATTCCTGGAAATGCCAATTGACACCACTCTGAGAAAGTTGGTATTGAGAATATACTCTAATGGTATAAATGCTGTCTGAATTGCTTTGGGAAACTGGTAGGGTGGTTGCTGCAGGAGAGGGAAAGTAGGTGGCTCTGAACAATGAGGAGAATTACAATTTACAGTTTTTAAAGTCCTTAGCACTTACATTATTATCTATTCAATTAAATTAACTTGAAACAGTTAATATTTCCCCCTTAGCTGTCACTACCATATAGTCCCAACTAGTCATTATACTTTCAGTCTTTTATCTACTATGTGATAAGAAATGAAATACAGTCTTTGAAAACCCATCACTTCATTTGCTATAAAGGTGGTTTTTGAGACACTGTCCATCTCTGAGTCCTGCTTTACACCTCATGTGAAAATTTTAATTTAGACCTAAGTAATAGAGGTGTTTACATAGGCTTATGAATTTGTATGTTTTCTGTCCTTTGAAAATTAACTTTGAACTCACCAGAAAGTTTGAAGCCAAATTCATGATTCAAATATAGCAACTCTGGGATCTCTAGGCAACTACATTTGTGTTTTATTTTACCCAAATCTTGACCCTTTACTCTTATTTATGTTTTCCCACATCCAGTTTTTATTTTACTATTTTGTTGTAAGCCATCTGAAATTCTCTATGGAGTCAGACTGTGTATAAATGAATGTACACATACATACAGAAATTAAAATAGCAAATTCCTTTTCTTAGTTTTATAAAATTTGGCACTTTACTGAGTCCTTTGAGATTGTATGTATTAAACAATGTTAATGATTAACAAGTTTTTGTGATTAGTATATTAACAAAATATAGATTGAATTTTCATTGTTAAATCAACATTGAGTTTTTCTAATGCTTTCAAAAGGGCAGCCTGAATTTTCTCAGCACTGAAATAACATTGAGACTATTTCATATCTTCTATATCAAGGAAGAAGGCTTGAAAACCTACAGAAAACCCTGGAGACAGCTTTCTCAGAGGCAGTGTGGAGGCAGCCATCTGTGGTTCTGCTGGATGACCTTGATCTCGTGGTTGGACAGCCTGCTGTCCCAGAACACGAGCACAGTCCTGACACTGTGAGGAGCCAGCGGCTCGCACACGGTAATGCATCCACTGCTGGCTTGAGGCCTTTTTCTTTTGTCAGCCAGCATTTTTAGTCTTCATGGTAAATCTACTCTCTTCAGAGAATAGTGTGTTTAGGTTAAGTGTTGTTTTTGAGGCCTCTGGTGGCATTCCACAATTGTTTTTTATTAGCAAAGTTGGTAGAGTAAGAAAAGTATGAAAATTCTGCAACTTCGGGTTTAGTTTTTTGGGGTCTTTTCATTTTACTTTACTTATTAGAAATTGTCTAATGTACAGATTTACTCTTATGTTCATTTGACAAATATTTGTGTTCTCAAAGTCTAGGACAAGGAAAAAAAGTAAACAATATGAGTACAGAGTGATAGTGATAATGATGGCTACCATGGCGCTTTCTAGGTTAGGGATTGCTTTGTACTTTACGTGCATTTATTCTCCTAGTTTTACAGCTCAGTAAGTGGAAATTCAGAGAAATAATTTGACCAGGGTAGCCAACTAGGAGGTGGTAGGATATACTGTGCTCGAAGTATATACAGGGTACTGTAGGAGCATATAACCTAAATTGAGGGTAAAGTGGGTTAAGGAGTTATCAGGGAAGGCTTTTTTGGAGGAGTTTATAACTGAGCTGAGTTTTGATGGAGGAATAGAAATTAGCTTGAAGGAATTTCATGCTAATGACGAAGTAAAAGAAGTGTGGTCTACAGGCAAAGGCACAGAGGTATAAGACATTGTGCTATGTTGGGGACTGCCTGGAGCTTAGAGTGCAAGGAGAAGAATGGTAGGGAGAAGAGGTTGGAGGGTTTGGCAGCATTGAGCTGCCTCAGGTTTTCAAGAGCTGAAATAGATACAAAATGTAACTGCAGTGGTTTGTGTTATTATTCCCTAGCCTTAATCTCAAATTTTGAATTCTATAGCATCTGTAAAACTAGTGTTACTAGTCTTACACTAGACCTTAAATACTGGATCTGTTAGTCTAGTGTTTAAGGGAGTGCTGTGGATTTCTAGGTCTGGACTCAAATATACATTACTAATGCCTGTTTCAGTTCTGGCTTTCTCATGCCAAACCTTGCAAGACCTGGTATGGAAAGAGGTTGTTCAGGAAGTCAGGAATATGAGCTGTATTTTGCTTAATAAACAGAAAACAATATGAAAATTAATCAATCCTTCTAGAATTTTCACTTACTTTATAAGGTCCAGGAGTAGAGAACCTCTTTAGACATTGTTCTGACATACAGTCCAAGTTTACAGTACCTCTTATCCCTCCATTAAGAGCCTGGCCCATATTAGATCCTCAATAGATAAATCAATATCTGAATGGAAGGATTAATTTTTAAAAAGCATGAAGCAGCTGAACCATACGTATTCCACTTTAAAGCTCCATTAGAATATCATTAGTTTTAATGAATGTATAAATTTAAAATTTCGTGTTTCTTTTTCATGAGCTTTTACAATATTGATTAATTGTAGCTTTGAATGATACGATGAAAGAGCTTATTTCCATGGGAAGTTTGGTTGCACTGATTGCCACAAGTCAGTCTCAACATTCTCTGCATCCTTTACTTGTTTCTGCTCAAGGAATTCACATATTTCAGTGTGTCCAACATATTCAACCTCCTAATCAGGTAATATATGACTTATAAAGAATATTGAAATATGTCCCTTTTATAGAAATTATTTATATATTTTATTAATGATTTATGGCTTTAACTTATGCTTCTATTAATGATCTTAAGGATATTTAAAAGTTAACATATGGTATATATTATACTAGGGCACAAATTATAAGTTACAACTAGCTGAAATGTTAGTACTTTCCAGGGAAATTACTTTTTGGAATACAATATATTTCTTCTGAATGAGAAAAAGCAGTGAGAAATCCAGATAGATGTGTTTTAAAAATTTGATTAAACATTTTTTTTTCCGCCAGCACATATGGCCCTTAGTCCCCTTGGGAGACTCATGCTCATGAGGGTTTTTGTGGCAGTAAACTGAAAGATGTTCAGGCATATTTAAAATTCTTGTTTAAAATTTTCACCTATCATCTACCCTAAATATTCAGACCCTGTGCTAATTAACTTATTGAAGAACAAAGGTATTATACCTATTATTAAGTATAACAGATTAACAGTGATGTTGGTCATTTAATATGTTTTTAGAAATAAGTTTTATATGAGCCAAAAAACTGCTCTTAAAGGAACCATATGTCACTAGAAATGCTTCTTATTGGAGAAAGAAATGGCAATTTCTTTATCAAATTATTTATCAATGTGATTTTTTTACAACTTTATTGAGATATAATTGAAGTACACCAAACTCACTTTATTGCAAGTGTACAATTTGATCAGTTTTAACATGTATATACCATGAAAGCATCACCACAATTAAGGTTAACAAACATTTCTATCACTCTCAGAAGTTTCCTAGCGCCCTTTCGCAATCCATCCCTCCACCATTCCATCCCCAGGCAACCACCAGTCTGCCTTCCCGTCACTATAGATTATGTCAACTTGATTCGTCTCCAAATATATGTACTAAAATGTACAGTTGAATAAAATCGGAAATTAGAATTTTGTGTTTTTTCTTTAGGAGCAAAGATACGAAATTCTGCATAATGTAATAAAAAATAAACTGGACTGTGATATAAACAAATTCACTGATCTTGACCTGCAGCATGTAGCTAAAGAAACTGAAGGGTTTGTGGCTAGAGATTTTACAGTGCTTGTGGATCGAGCCATACATTCTTGTCTCTCTCATCAGAATATATGCAGCAGGGAAGGTATGTTTTACTATTAAAACCTGAATTTGAAATCTGCTTTTTATTGTAGAGAAATGTCATTGTAGTAAGGCAAGAATTAAATACATTCCATTGTGGTATTTGAATAAGCAGTTATTTGAGTCCAAAATTAGCATTTTTAGCTAAGATGATGGCATATTTTGAAAATTCATATATTGAAATATGACTACCAAAAGAAGTTTTGTTTATTTTTAAACAGAATTAGTTTTAACAACATTGGATTTCCAAAAGGCTCGTCAAGGATTTATTCCTGCTTCTCTGCGAAATGTCAACTTGCATAAACCTAGAGACCTGGGCTGGGATAAGGTTGGTGGATTACATGAAGTTCGGCAGATACTTGTGGATACTATCCAGTTACCAGCCAAGGTACTTTTAAAAAAAGAAAACAAATACTTACTCCCAGAAGAACCACTGGATCATTGGCTTTGGCTTTATGTGTTTGCTTGCCCAGACTCAGTTTGATTCAACAAATATTTCCTCAGTTGCCAAATAAATGTCTAGCACTACTTTAGGTAGTTTAGCAGATTTGTAAAAATATTTGATATATTCCTTGCCTGTAAGAAATGTATAATGGAAACCTGGGGTGATAGTTACAGAAAATACATTTTGATGTGAATTTTATAATTCTGTTTTGCTTGAGTCATTCAAATTGTACTAAAACAAGATGAACCATCTGCCATGATTTGAACAGAAATAGATAGGAATAAGCTGGAAGGTGGAAAAGTCATCTGGGTCCACAGGACTGGTGGATTAAGCTAGATTTCCAGACTCTGGGTGTTAGTCCTAGCAAGGTAGAGTTGGCAGGCAGCATAGACCAGACAGATGACAGGATAAAGGGGGCAGATGTAGATTGTTCCTGAGAACAATCAGAGACTCATGCAAATAGGTAAAAATAAATAAATATATGTATGTATGTGAGTAAGGACCTTGGGTTACATGTAACTGGATGACAACTCCTAGGAACAGTGACTGTAGGGGCCTGTGACATGTTGAGTGGAGCCCAGGACAGTAGATGAAGCCTGTGTAAGAGAACATGGACATGAAATACCAGCCATTAGGATTCTGACCCAGATGCCAGGGCTGGGCATCAAACAGTATCCAGAGACAGTTCATGGAGACTGTGTACATAGCTGCTTACTTTGGTGCCTCATTCAGATTAGAAAGGAGGTAGAAGTGAGTTGGAACCTTGTCAGCAGGTGGAACTAAAGAGGCATACCTAATAAAGGAGACCAGGATATTGCTGATGACAGTAACTTTATGTTTGGTTCCCCTGTTCAAAAAGTTCTGCTCTCTGAGCAGTTGGATTTAGAACGTAATTGAGAAGCATTTAATCACTTATTTAGCCTGGAGACTCTTGGGAGATTTTCACTATCTTTGAATATATTTGAATATACACAGCTACCATAACTTGCCCCATTGAATTATAAAAGCATAAGGTGGTATGCTTATTAAAAGCTTGGGTTTTATTTGTTTTTAATGTAGTAGTTTTATAATGTTTTTTTAAAAACAGGAAAAATGGAAAGTTCTAATGTAGTTATATGCATTTTATCTAGAATTTATTCTATTATTCAAGTGGGAAAAATCCATGGTAGTTTCTTTGAGTTCATTTATTATTTTTAGTAGGAATTTTATTTTGTACTATTGTGCTTGCTATTAATAAAGATAGCAGTCATCACCATCTGAATACTTTTTTTGTATACATTGATCTTTTGCTGCTACTTAGTCATTTCTGTTTAAATTTGACCTCTTTTTCATATTTTTTTTTTTTTGTATCTCTCAGTATCCAGAATTATTTGCAAACTTGCCCATACGACAAAGAACAGGAATACTGTTGTATGGTCCTCCTGGAACAGGAAAAACCTTACTAGCTGGGGTAATTGCACGAGAGAGTGGAATGAATTTTATTAGTGTCAAGGTATGTTGTGCATTTATCTTTCTTTTATCTTTTTTTTATTGTGGTAAAATTTACATAACATTCAAATAACCACTTTAAAGTGTACAATTTAGTGGCATTTAGTGCACTGACAATGCTATTCAGCCACCACCTCTCTCTAATTTCAAAACTTTTTTATCTCATGTTTTTCTTCTACTCATCCCCTGGCAACCATTAATCTTCTGTCTTTTATAGATGCTGTTCTGTGTATTTCATGTAAAAGGAATCATTCAATATGTAACTTTTTGGTTCTGGCTTCTTTCACTTAGTGTAATGTTTTCATGGTTCTTCCAAGTTATAGCATGTATCAGAACTTCATTCCTTTTCATGACTGAATACTATTCCATTGTATGTATATGCCACACTTTGTTCATCTATATATCCTTGGTGAACATTTGGGGTATTTCCACTCTTTTTTCTAAATTTCAAAATATTAATTAAGGGATACAAGTGTTTTTATTACATGGATATCTTGTTGGTGCTTCTGGTGTACCCATCACCAGAATAATGTTCATCGTACTCAATAGATAAATTTTTATCCCATGTTTCCACCTTTTGACTATTATGAATAACGTTGCTATAAATATTCATATACAAATTTCTGTATAGACATATGTTTTCATTTCTCTTGGGTATAAACTGAGGAGTGGAATTGTTGGTCATAGGGTAATTCTCTATTTAACTTTTTAAGGAACCACCAAACTGTTTTTCATAGCAACTGCACCATTTTACATTCTCACCAGCAATGTATAGGGGTTCCTGATTTTCCACATCTTTAACACCATTTATATTTCTTGACTGTGAGTTAGTCTCACATTTGGAAGCTGATAGGAGCAGTGATCTATCTATTAAAGTTGTATGAAATTGAGTAATGAGCCACCTCTCTCATAGGACTTCTTATATTCTTGCTTAAGGCAAATCCTCATGCATTGTGAATAGAATTGTACATAAATATTCAGATAAAAAGGCAAACTCTACTTAAAGGTGGAAGAAAACCTAGAAGACTAGAGGCTGGAGACCATACGAAGGCTGGAAGATGGGGTTTTTCTGAATCTGTTACTTGTTGGCTGTTTCTTACCCTTGCTGTGTCGCACTAGGTCTAAGTTTTTTTCAGGTACAAGGTGAGTGTGGCAATTAAGGGACATGCTAGGAGATCATTTTGGATAATGTCTCACAGTTCACCAGTGGTATGTCATTGTGGTCTGGGGTCCAGTATCTTAGTTGTACAGTCTTAGCACACCAGCAATATTAGTTTATCAAAGGGTGATTAGATTCCAAGGCAAAGGAATCATATATTCTATCCTTATTTAAAATTGATTTATAATCGGAAAGCCAACTTAGTAATTTGTAGTAGGGTTTTGCCTACCCTCTTTTATCACATGTTTTTTTGTGAGCTGGATACATGGGTACCCTGGCAATGGTGAAGAAATGCTAAAACTTTACAATTTTCCTATCTTCCTTTTTCTGGATTCTGGAGAAATGATGACCATACTCTTCTTTTTTATACTTGCACTAGAATGTGCTTTCACTGTTTTTAAAAACATAAATTTTTAAGATTAAAGCTTATAGATCATTTCATTATGAAGGACATCCCCTTTAGGAAATTATCAAATTACAATTTGAACTGAGTTCCCAATGGGAAGGTTTCAGTGGGAAGCTAATTCTCTCTGGGTGGCTCAGGGTGGATTGTAGGAGGCATGCGTCAAAGATAGGTGCCCTTTGCTGACACCATTATGTTACCTGTTCTTATTATTTTGCCTCAGTTATTAATATTTCTTATAACTACCTCTAATCCTCTGTGTTGAGGAAATGTAATTAAATGTTAATAATATATTAATAGATGTCTAGAGGGCTGTGTATTAGAAATTTGTTATTTTGGTCACATATCCCGATCAGTATTTGGTCTTTTGGAGGTAGTGATTTTTTACTGGAAATCACTTTAGGATCTATTCAGTTTTTTAAGAGATCCAAATTTAAGGAAAGACTATTCTCATTACTGATTTTGCTATATGTAGTGAAGTTTTTTTTTTTTTGAAAGATTTTTCAGTTGCCTTTTAGGAAAGATGATATATTATTCAACTCCTGTCCAAATAAATTGGTTTCAGTAATTAAGATACTAATTAAAGTAAGTCATTTCTCTATGTATTTTTTGGAATCTCCAAAGATTTGAGATAGATGGGACTTTGTCCCTTTTTAAACCATTCATTTCTTACTCAACAAATGATTATTCAGTACTTATGTGGAAGGCACTGTTTTGGCACTGGGATTTAGCAGTGAACAAAACTGCCTTTTTGGAATTTATGTTTTACTGGTAGAGAAAGACAAATAGCAGATAAACATGTCTAATATCTACTGTCAGGTAGTGCTAAGAAGAAAAGCAGGATAAGGAGGTATAGAGTATAAGATGAAGTTGTCTTGCAAGATTTTTCTGAAGAGATGGCATTTTGGCAGAGATCTAAATGAAATGAAGCAACGGGCCATGAGAGTATGTTGGGACAAATGTTCTAGGCAGAAGAAACATCAAGTGTAGAACTTGTGGTATGATACTTATTCCAGCACACATTACTTTTTAAAATATATTTAAGAGACATTAATTTAATCATAATAAAATTTTTCTATGATTTCTATGATTTATTTAGATTTCTATGATTTATTTAGATGATTTCTATAATTTATTTAAACTTGATATAAAATCAAACTTATATTTTCTATTCAGATAATTTTATCTCAATTCTAATTTTATTTTACCAGGGGCCAGAGTTACTCAGCAAATATATTGGAGCAAGTGAACAAGCTGTTCGAGATATTTTTATTAGGTTGGTTCCCTATGAATGTTTTTTTAAGTAACTGACTCCATTATTGTTTATCAGTCAGTGCTTTTGGGTCTTGTTCTTTTGAAGAACTGTTGTTTGAAATCTGTGATTTATGTGAATTATTAATAAATTGGAGGACAATGATTCTATTTCACCAAATACTACTTAAATATAAAACATTTTAGATATTAAATTATGTAGATTATTTGATTTATATTTATAACAAGTATTCCTGAAAGTGGGATAAGTAGTTATTCAAAGAATTCTCTGTACGTCCTTATATGTAGCAAATAATTACACCTAATTTGTCTCTAATTTTTAAAAATTCTAAATTCTTTTTTTTCCCATTCCTAATTTATAAATCAAGATTCCATGTGGCTGATTTAACAGGAGAGTATAACTATTACTGCATATTTATAAAACTGCATATGAATGCAAAAGATAATATTAAAGGGAGAAAGTAATTATTCAAATGTGATGGGATTATGGGGAGTTTTTAAATTGAAAAGTTACTTTGTTCCATTCTTCTAAAAATTTTATTATAAAAGTATGCAATTAAGAGAATATATACAAACCAGATGCAATGGCTCACACCTGTAATCCCAGCACTTTGTGGGAAGGATTGCTTGAAACTCCATTCTCTATGCTTGAGACCAGCCTGGGCAATATAGTGAGGCCCTATCTCTACAAAAAATTTAAAAATTAGCTGGGCATGGTGGCTCGTACCTTGTAATCCCAGCTACTCTGGAGTCTGAGGCAGGAGTTTCACTTGAGCCCAGGAGTTTGAGGTTACAGTGAGCTATGGTTGTGCCACTGCACTCCAGCCTGGGTAACAGAGTGAGACTCCATCACTAGTAAATAAATACATAAATAGATAAAATAAATACATAAATATATTTATACATATATCTGAAATTACTTTGCAAACTCTAAATTTTATGAGATTATTTAAATATGAATTTAAATGTGAGATGTTGGTTGTTTTTCCCAGAGCACAGGCGGCAAAACCCTGCATTCTTTTCTTTGATGAATTTGAATCTATTGCCCCTCGAAGGGGTCATGACAATACAGGAGTTACAGACCGAGTAGTTAACCAGTTGCTGACTCAGTTGGATGGAGTAGAAGGCTTACAGGGTAATAATTATAAATATAGAAATATACTGTTATAACAAAATTTTACCAGGTTTTAGTAAAAAAAAAAAATTCTTTTTTCCTCCAGGTGTTTATGTATTGGCTGCTACTAGTCGCCCTGACTTGATTGACCCTGCCCTGCTTAGGCCTGGTCGCCTAGATAAATGTGTATTCTGTCCTCCTCCTGATCAGGTGACAATTTCATATTTAGAGTCCAAAACCCAACAAATGCTACACTCTTTCCTTGTGAACTTTACTTCTGCCAGGTAATAGCAATTGTCCTTAGAAGACCAGCTTTCTTAGGCAAAGGCTTTAGTCACTCACTGTTTGCTCAAAGCATAAAAATATTCTGAATTAGATGCAAAGCCTTTCTGTGGCCCAGCCATTTCCATGCAAGTCTGAAAACTTTATAATCCTTCAGTGTTGGCTAATTGGGAAAAAAGGCAAGAAACCTAAAAAGTTATATGTCCATGTCCTCTGTGTTCAAAGATCACATACCCCATTATCCTGTCAAGGATACAGAATCAAGCATATGAATAGTAAGCATGCAAGCAGGTTTCATAGAGATACGATTTTCAACTGTTTCTAGTCCTATGTTGTTCCAAATCTTGTTTTCAAATTAGAAACTAATGAATAGATGAATGAAAGAATAAATAGACAAATGAATAGTCAAAGGTATAAAATGTCTGAATATATGTCATATGTAGCTATTATTTAAATTATTTTAATTTTCCTTTTGAAATACTTTCTTGACACACTTGCCCAAATCTAGAGAATAAGCATTGCCTGAACATGAAATTTTTTACACCGAATAGTTAAAAATGTTGATTTTCATTTATTTTACTACCTGTGTTCCAATTATGTTAGGGAAAAGTTCCAAGGAAAATAAATAATAGACTGGTGTACATTTCTCAACTTACTTGTAAAGCTTACTAGATAGATGTGTAAGTTAATTTATGAAAAAAATCATGATATACACATGATAATATTTAATTTTATTTTTTATTTGTTAAATCAGTTCGTTTTTCTCCCTTCAGGTGTCACGTCTTGAAATTTTAAACGTTCTCAGTGACTCTCTACCTCTGGCAGATGATGTTGACCTTCAGCACGTGGCCGCAGTAACTGACTCCTTTACCGGAGCTGATCTGAAAGCTCTACTTTACAATGCCCAGTTAGAGGCCTTACATGGAAGGCTGCTCTCCTGTGGACTCCAGGTAAGTCATGTGACAAGATTGTTATTATGACATTTGGTGAATGATAAGAGCTATTCAGTGTCAAAATTTCAACTTAAAAAATACTATTTTTAACAACTTTAGGAAAACTGTATAAAAATTTAAATTGGCTAGGTGTAGTGGCTCACACATAAAATCCTAGCACTTTGGGAGGCTGAGGTGGGAGGATCACCTGAGCCCAGTAGTTAGTTGGAGGCTACAGCAGTGAGCTATGATAACGCCACTGGGCAACAGAGTAAGACCCCGTGTCAAAAAAATATATTTTTTTAATTTACCTTTAGCTGAATATACCATAGTTGGAATATGGATTTTGTAGCAAATTTAAAATTACGAAGAGTTTTCTATTTCTTTTTTTTTTTCTGTCTATTTCTTTAACATTACCTTGATATTGACAAAGTTATCTTGATGTTTGAAAGGATATTATTTAATTTGAAATGTCATGAATTAGATCATATAAATAGAAAAATAATTGGAGTTTTTAGGTTTTTTTTTTAGGTCCCCAGCTTTTCATGCATTTAGTTTATTTTGCACTTTAATTTTAAAAAAATAATCAGTTAAGATCGTTATTTATTTTGAAGCTCAAATTGTCCCAGTTTGACCAAGAGGAGCCCTTTTGGATAGCTCCTGTATCCTTATGATATGTCTTCATCATTCTTTGATCACTTCCTTACTTCCAGATACAGTCAGATGTTCTTGGTTTATCTTGTATTTTCCGTATTCTGTCCCGTATTCTGTCAGCTTTTTCTCTAAGGATAGTAATTTTTATTTTAATTTTTATAGTTGATAATTTGAACTTTGCTACATCATGGACTTTATACCTTTTTTTTATTTTTTGTAGAAACAGGGTCTCACTATTGCCCTGGGCTTAAGCAATCCTCTCACCTTGGCCCCCAAAGTGCTAGGATTACAGGCCTGAGCCACCGTGCCTGGTCTCTCCTTCACATTTTGTTGGAGATGTTTAGAGGGCCTAAAGTTTCTAAATCAGATGCTCCTAGGTTTTTGCTATTTATTTTGGCAAGCCATTGAAGTCATTTTTTCTCCTCTTTCACTACCAAAAACAGTGTGTATTTGTAGAGCACTCTATAATGAGAAAGCACTCTGTAATATGATTGATGTTATCAATTTGGAGTAGAAAAGTATGAACTGAAAGGCACAGACATAGAAATAAAATCTAGATGTCTGAGTTGTGGCTTTATTACAGACTTTTTGGGGAGGATGGTTGGCAAATTATCTAGACTTTCCATATTGTCTTTCCCTATTTTAACAGTTAAGTTTTTACTCTGTTCCGCAAAACCACTAGAGAATTAATAAGAAGTTTTTGAAAAATACCTTGAGTCTCCTTGAATTGCTCTGTTAGAATGCTGTCTATGTTTATTACTTATTTCTGAGTTGTGAATTATTTAGATCTTTAAGCTACCTGTCCTTTTATATATTTTAGGATGGAAGTTCCAGCTCTGATAGTGACCTAAGTCTGTCTTCAATGGTCTTTCTTAACCACAGCAGTGGCTCTGATGATTCAGCTGGAGATGGAGAATGTGGCTTAGATCAGTCCCTCGTTTCTCTAGAGATGTCTGAGATCCTTCCAGATGAATCAAAATTCAATATGTACCGGCTTTACTTTGGAAGCTCTTATGAATCAGAACTTGGAAACGGAACCTCTTCAGATTTGGTATCTTGTGCTGTTGCCATTACACAGTTCTGAAATATAAAGCTGTATGTTGGTGTAAAGTTAGACAGTGATCTGTCTCCTAACCACCCCCACATGTTCTTTCTGGTTGGTTGGTTCTTCAGTAAAATAGTCTTGTTTTTCTTACTTACATTAATTAGTAATATTCATTCTTTGTTGCAATTTTTAAGACAGGGCTGGGAACAAGGGAGAACCAAAGTAGTGAGTGGTTATGATTACACTTTGGTTTATTGCAAGTTTATCTCTTTTCATTAGTGATTTAAAAATATCTTTTGTAGCAGATCTATTTTATAGTAAACTTAAATTCTATTATTACAGCAAAGTTGAGGATAATGAGAAATTTGATATAATAATGTCAAAAATTCCTGACAAAATGTTTTGTTTGTGATAATTTCGTGGAAGGTAACTATGAAAAATAGTAACAATGTCTCAATAAGGAAAATGTTTAGATTAAATGTGAGCAATATCACTGTTCTAGCATTTAACACATACCTTTCAAAATTAATAGTGTTTCACTGTCAATTTATTGGTACATATAACATTTTTACATATATTTACTTATATTTTTCCTGTTTTTTATATTTACTTTATTAATTCAGTTTGTAAAAATATAAAAGCAACCTATTTTTATTCCCAAGAATAGTAAGGTGTTGTTTCAATTTTTGGTTTTTTGTTTTGTTTTGTTTTTTGAGACAGAGTCTCACTCTGTTGCCCTGGCTAGAGTGCCGTGGCATCATCATAGCTCACAGCAACCTCCAACTCCGGGGCTCAAGCAATCCTCCTGTCTCAGCCTCTCAAGTAGCTGGGACTACAGGCATGTGCCACCATGCCTGGCTAATTTTTTGTATATATTTTTAGTTGTCCAGCTAATTTCTTTCTATTTTTAGTTAGACGGGGTCTCGCTCTTGCTCAGGCTGGTGTCGAACTCCTGAGCTCAAACGATCCACCTGCCTCGGCCTCCCAGAGTGCTAGGATTACAGGCATGAGCCACTGCGCCCTGCCTCAATCCTAGTTTTTAATTCTGTTTTCTATTTCTAATTTCTATCTAGAAATGTTCCAGAACCTTAGTATAATTGTATTTACTTTGAAAGCTAAGAGTAAGGCTCATTTGGAATCTATCCTTGGGCATTAGTGTGTTGGATTTAAGTAACAAAGCAAAAAAAAAAGAAAACCTGTTGTAGCAGTTTTCACTTTATGGTGGTTCTAGATAGATATCAGTGAACCTTTATATAACAGAATATGAACTTTTAAACTTTATTAATTTCAGTTAATTAAAATGTGAATGTAACTGTGTTAAGGTTTTATCACTTACAATTTTTAGTTTTTATCTTTGGTAAATACATAGTTTTTTCTCTCTCTTCTTTTCCCCTGCCCCCTTTCTTCCTTTCCTCCTCCTTTCATTACTGTAACTGACCACGCAGAGCTCACAGTGTCTCTCTGCACCAAGTTCCATGACTCAGGATTTGCCTGGAGTTCCTGGGAAAGATCAGTTGTTTTCACAACCTCCAGTGTTAAGGACAGCTTCACAAGAGGGTCACCAAGAACTTACACAGGAACAGAGGGATCAACTGAGGGCAGATATCAGTATTATCAAAGGCAGATACCGGAGCCAAAGTGGAGTATGACTTTTTTTCCCCTCCATTATAATTGTTGAAACTTCTTAAAAATTGTTGTTCCTTTTTTGTATGTATTTCTTTGGTTTGTAAATGAGCTATATTTATAAACAAGGGACTGAAATATATTGACTCAGTCAAATGGTTATGTACTTCCTTGCTCTTAAACAACTTTTAGTTACCTTACTTTATTTTCCTTTCCTTAGAAAGGAAATGTACAGTCTCTTAAAAAACTGACAAAGAAAAAAAAATTAAATAAAAAATTTAAAAAACAACAACAAAAAACTGACAAAGAAGAAATAACACTTAGGCTGCCACTTTTGTCATCGCATCCCTAAGTTAACTTTTTATTAATTTCTTTTTTCGTTTAAGGAGGATGAATCCCTTAACCAACCAGGACCAATCAAAACCAGTCTAGCTATTAGTCAGTCACACTTAATGACTGCACTCAGTCACACAAGACCATCCATTAGTGAAGATGACTGGAAGAGTTTTGCTGAGCTGTAAGTAACAGATTCTGATTTGGATATTATTACAGGTAGATATTATTATAGGTGGCATACTTATTCACATAAACTTTTAAAGTTGTTTTTAAAATAAAAAATATTTTGACTATAAACCAATTTAAAAAATTGTAGTAGCTGTGCATTTAAACACCCACAATTTTAAGAGTACAGAATTTGAATTATTTATAATGGACTAATTTAATGTTAGCAAATTTTTTTTTTTTTTTTTTAGAGATAATGTCTCACATTGTGATCCAGGCTAAAGTGTAGTATGGAGTTCATAACTCATTGTAACCTCGAACTCCTGGGCTCAAGCATTCCTCCTGCCTCAGCTTTCCGAGTAGCTGGGACTACTGGTGTGCATCACCAAGCTCATCTTATTTTTTTCCATTTTTTGTAGAGACAAGGTCTTTTTCTATGTTTCCCAGACTGGTCTTGAACTCCTGACCTCAAGCAATTGTCCTACTTTAACTTCCCAAAGTGCTGGGATTATAGGCATGAGTCATTGCACCTAGTTTAATGTTAGTTAACTTCAAAGAAATAAGAAAAGGAAGAAAATTATATAGTTTGCAAAATTTGTAATGAAAAAATATACCTGTTTTATCCTCAAAATAATTTATATTTTATTAATCTGAAGAACATTTAAATACATTCCAATTTATTCATTGGTGGAAATGTTTAGTACACATTTGGATTACAAGCTTCTTGCAATTGATTCGGTCCCCTATGAATCTGAAACCCATAGACTTAGAACCATTCTAGGTCAATGATTCCACGTAATTCAATTCAAGAAATGTTTATTCCTGGTCTTTACAAGCTGTAATCCTTTCTTGTTTAATTTTTCAGTACTTAGGAGGGTGTATGTATATGTGTATATTTACATACATTAGTAATATATACTTATTATAGAAAAATCAGAAAACAATGACAAGGAAAAATAAGGAAACAAATTTCCCTTGACCCCACTACTTTCCAAAGCATATTTGTATGCTTATATATTTTTTGTACTACAATAATAATACTCTACTATATAGCAGTCTCCCTTTATCTATCTATATACATCTTAAACATTCTTTTATATTTAATATACATTACTACTTTATTGTTCTTAATGTCATTTTATAGTATAGCTATGCTACAATTTAGGGACATTTAAATTGTTTCCAGGCTTTTAATATTATAAGCAGCACAATAATGAGCATTTTTGTAGCTAAATATCCTTTGCACGTATCCTTAATGTTTTCACTGGATTAGAGGTAGAATTTTTGCATTACAGAGTACTCAGGTATTTTAAGGCTTTTGAAATGGATTGCCAAGTTGCCTTCTAGAAATACTGTACTATATATTTCAACAACAATATGTGAGCATGCCACTTCTGTACCCTAATATTGAGTTTTGTAATGTTTTTTTGAATTTGCCCATTTGATTGGAGAAATATTTTAACAATTTACATTTCTTTTATTAAAACTAGATAGAAGTTATAATTTTTTAATATTATTCATTGCCATTTGTATTTTATCTTTCCTAACTTGTCTCTTCATCTCCTTTGCTCCTTCTTCTATTGGAGTGTAACCTCAGAAAATTTACTTGTAAAAATTCTCTAATTTCTGTTATAAGTATTTTTTTCTAATTTGTTATATTTTCCTTTCATTCTTTTTTTTTTTTTTTTTTTTTTTTTTTTTTTTTTTTTTTTTTTTTGAGACAGAGTCCCACTTTGTTGTCCAGGTTAGAGTGAGTGCCGTGGCGTCAGCCTAGCTCACAGCAACCTCAAACTCCTGGGCTCAAGCGATCCTCCTGCCTCAGCCTCCCGAGTAGCTGGGACTACAGGCATGTGCCACCATGCCCGGCTAATTGTTTATATATATATCAGTTGGCCAATTAATTTCTTTCTATTTATAGTAGAGGCGGGGTCTCGCTCTTTCTCAGGCTGGTTTTGAACTCCTGACCTTGAGCAATCCGCCCGCCTCGGCCTCCCAAGAGCTAGGATTACAGGCGTGAGCCACAGCGCCCGGCCTCCTTTCATTCTTAATATAATTTTGTTTGTAATCTGTTATATTTTGTTTTGTAATTGTAATATTTACATGTATTAAATACTAACTCTTACTTTTTTTTAAGGTATGAAAGCTTTCAAAATCCAAAGAAGAGAAAAAATCAAAGTGGAACAATGTTTCGACCTGGCCAGAAAGTAACGTTAGCATAAAATATACTCCGGACATTTTTGTGTTTTTTTTTTGGATGGCTTGTCCCTACATTGTCACAGTAAAAAAATGATGTTTGTAAATTTATTTTTGACTTAACAAATTTGGTTAATCTGTAAAATCACAGATTTGGTAAATGCTGGGATTATGTAATGATCAGGATTACTTGAGATTAATACTATAGAATAAATTGGGGTATTTATAACAGATGCTGTATTTTATTTCCTATAAAGCTATGATAAAATGAAATAATATTGGCCAAATGGTAACAGTAACTTATTTCTCCTTTGAAGGAAAGACAGTAGAGAATGTAATTAAGTAAATTTCTTGGAACTCATAGTGGCATATTCAGCATCTTTAGCATTTGACAGATTTTATGCTTAGCAACTTCTTGACTGTTTTGGAAATAAAATATCTGATTATCTACTGGTCCAATGATCTGTTCTTGTTATATCAGAAAATGGGGAATTTATATATAATTCAAATAAATTTAATTATCCCCTCACCCAGAAATGAGATCATATCCCCCTAATATACTATAACTAGCTCCAAGTCCAAGTCTCCCCTTACGTGGTTGCTCACTGCTGCTGACAGGCTGTTGGGGTAGCCAGGCAATCAGGTCAGCCATGCTGAGAGGAAGTGCACATTGTGAAGGCCACATGAGGACTTTCCATTCTTGCTACCTTGGCCACTTTGAGGATGAGCCTAGTAAACAAGCACTGGGTCAGCTGGGAAAGAAGGTGATTGACATCCATAGAGAGGTCATCATGAGCACCTGATTATTAAAAGCACTGAAGGCTTTTAGCTGAGCATTTGGGACACAAATATTCTTACTCTATGGGCCCATTCCAAGACCTCTGAGCATACCTTTCCCCCAGACCTCATGGCCAGTTGTGCTCTTTCCGAATTTCTGATTGTCTGGTTAATTGCTAACCACTATCTATGAATCATCACAGATTTTTATATCAGACATCTCACCCTCCTGATAAAATGGAGGAGATACATTCCTCAAAAATTCTGCTCCATTGGAAGACTTCCTATCTCCACTGTTTGTCAGGGCTACCCCCTCAGTATTCCAGTAATGCTTTCACTCCTACAAGTAGGTCAGTGGAATTATGGGGCTCCAGGAATTATAGTACAGACCCAGTGTCTCTGACAGTCCCCAGAATGAGTGGTTATTTCCCAGGGCACCTGGGAAATGGCCTGGTGAGTGGCCTTGGATGCTTTGGGGAAGGCTTAGAGGAAAGAGGATTCATAGCAAGAACCTGTGATGGCATTGCAGGGCCCTTTCCCTAGTCACCCAGCTTCTTCATTCTTGGTCTGACCTAGGCCTGGGAATTGGTCCAGACCCATGTCTATATTGTGACAACTCAAATCAGGTGTTTGTTTACTAAAGGAAGATTTTTCAATTATAAGAATCAAGTAGGCAGGGTGCAGTGGCTCACGCCTGTAATTCTAACACTCTGGGAGGCCGAGGTAGGCGGATCGCTTGAGATCAGGAGTTCGAAACCAGCCTGAGCAAGAGCGAGACCCCCGTCTCTACTATAAATAGAAAGAAATTAATTGGCTAACTAATATATATAGAAAAAATTAGCCGGGCATGGTGGTGCATGCCTGTAGTCCCAGCTACTCGGGAGGCTGAGGCAGGATTGCTTGAGCCCAGGAATTTGAGGTTGCTGTGAGCTAGGCTGACGCCATGGCACTCACTCTAGCCTAAGCAACAGAGCGAGACTCTGTCTCAAAAAAAAAAAAAAAAGAATCAAGTAGGATCTTTGCCCATGTATTGTGGTCTTAAGGACACCACAATTAGGGAGCACTAAAGATCCCGGCAGATCAGACCATTGTAATTAACATGCTGGCTTTACTGCCAGTTATGGTAGCCACTTCCACCTGGCCTCTCGCATTGCAGCCTGACCTCTGCCACCCCAGGAGCCATACCTCTCCGCTGCAATCCGCCCATTTCTACTGCAGTAGCTCCCAGTTGCATCCTGATGTTGCAGATTCTGTAGATTAGCTCATTCAATATCCATCCCAACACCCTCTCCCTTGCCTTCCATTCCTCTCTGGAAAGTGAATTACTGAGTCACATGATCTCTGTTGTGGCCATGTGTGACTATTGTGTGACATGGTTATGGGCAACAAGTGTACAAGTCCCTGGAGAAGGTTCATTTCTGGGATGAGGGCACAATACCTGGAGATACAGCAACCATCTTGTAAATATGAGGGTGAAAAACCGCAGGCCACTGATAGTAGGCCAAGAAAACAGAAGGATTCTGGTTCTCTGATGGCGTCACTGAGCTGCCATACCAGACTGAATGTCTTACCCCTAGAACTTTTTTTTTTTTTTTTTTTTTTGAGACAGAGTCTCGCTTTGTTCCAGGCTAGAGTGAGGCCGTGGCGTACAACCAGCTCACAGCAACTCTCAACTCCGGCTCAAGCAATCCTGCTGCCTCACCTCCCAAGTACTGGGACTACAGGCTCAGGCACATGCCCGGCTAATTTATATATATATCAGTTGGCCAATTAATTCTTTCTATTTATAGTAGAGACGGGGTCTCGCTCTTGCTCAGGCTGGTTTTGACTCCTGACCTTGAGCAACTCCGCCCTCGGCCTCCCAAGAGCTAGGATTCACAGGCGTGAGCCACAGCGCCCGGCCTCCCTAGAACTTTTTGATGCCTGAAACAGATTAACCCCTATGTTTACTTCTCTGAGTAGGGCTCCTATTATAGCCAAAATCAATCCCCACCCCAGATGACATCATCCAGTTGATACCTCTCAAAGCCTGCCCATTCTTAAACCAAAGCCTCCTGCCAACAGCCACACGAGGGAGCTGTTTCCCTGCTTTATTCTTTGCTTTTTAACATAAACAGTTTACAATCCAACCTAGCTTTCCCTATATGGTCTCCTTCGTTACTTTTTAATTAAAAAATATATATATATCAAATACGTATACGTGGTATAAAAAAGGCCAAATAATTCTAAATACAGAATTTTTATAATGTATAGCATATCTTATATTTTTCTGGTTAGAGCTGGAACCCATACTATTAAGTGAAGTTTCCCAAGAATGGAAAAACAAGCACCACATATACTCACCAGCAAATTGGTATTAACTGAATAGCACCTAAGTGGTCCATGTACTGAAAGGGTATTGGGCAGGTGGGAGGGGGGCGGGTATATACATACATAATGAGTGAGATGTGCACCATCTGGGGGATGGTCATGATGGAGACTCAGACTTGTGGGGGGAGGGGAGGAAATGGGCATTTATTGAAACCTTAAAATCTGTACCCCCATAATATGCCGAATTAAAAATATATATATATATATATCAAATACATATACGTGGTATAAAAAAGGCCAAATAATTCTAAATACAGAATTTTTATAATGAAAAGCATAGAACGTTTACAATGAAAAATAGCAGTTACCTGCCTTCACCTCCAGTGTCTCAGTAACTGTATCAGTCAGAATTTGATCAGAGAAACAACCACTGGTGATATAAAATAAGGGATCTATGATAGAAATTGTGCAGCGTCGTGAGAGCTTGTAGAATGGTCTGTGTTGCATTTGTATTTGGTGCTGGGGCCTTAAGTCAGCAGGGCCCCCAGTCTATAAGGCAGAGGGACTTGAAGTGGGGGGAGAGGAAAGACATACATGAACCTACATCAGTCTCTCACTCTCACCAAGCCTCCACCTCAGGGGACACAGGTGCCCTGCAGGAGCTGGTGTCCTCGCTCTGTCACCCAGGCTAGAGTGCTGTGGCATCATCATAGCTCACTGCAGCCTCCACCTCTTGGGTTAAAGTGATCCTCTTGCCTCAGCTTTCTGAGTAGCTGGGACTATAGGTGTGTGCCACCACACCCAGCTCAGAATTGATATACAATTCTATATTCTGCTTTTTTCTCATATATTATGAAACTTTCCCCCATCACTAACATTTTCACTTCATATGCACAAAAGCAGTATAATTTTTTTGAGCATTCCCTTCTTATTGGTCATTCAGGCTCCTTCTCCCTGGTACTGACCTTCTCCTGGTGTACATTTCTTGGGCCTGGGAGGTATACACTCCTGCAAAGGTATGGCTCACACATCTGGTGTGAAGCAAGCAGCACAGTTCTTAAAACATGCCCTGGGCAGCCAAATGCAATCCACACAAATGCCTCTCCCTTTTCTTTTTCTTTTTTATTTTTTTTTTGTTTTATTTTTTTATCACAGAAGCAGTATACCTCCCTTTTCTGATGCATGACAGAAACTTCATTCTCAATGTGTATCCTGTATCTGTGTATATACGATACACATACACAAAAATAAATGTATTCATTTCCCTCCATTGTTTATATGATTTCATTACTGATGGCTGAAATGGAATTGTGATTCAAATTTCTTGATGGAAAACTTCTTAAGCATGGACAAGCCTCTCAGCCAAGAACCAGAATGGTTTAGGATAATTTTTTTTTTCAAATACTCATGTTAAGCTTTATTTGTATAAGATAACTATTTAAAGTTCATGTTAAAAACATCTTTTTTAAAATAATCGACACTCTGGGAGGCCGAAGTGGGTGGATCATTTGAGCTCAGGAGTTTGGGACCAGCCTGAGCAAGGGCGAGACCCCATCTCTACCAAAAACAGAAAAATTAGCTGGGCATGGTGGCGCATGCCTGTAGTCCCAGCTACTCAGGAGACTGACGCAGCAGGATTGCTTGAGTCCAGGAGTTTGAGGTTGATGTGAGCTAGGCTGACGCCACGGCACTCTAGCTCAGGCAATAGAGTGAGACTCAATAAGTAAATAAGTAAGTAAATAAATAAATAACAATCAAATACTAATCCAGAATATAATAATTTGAAATTCTACTTGACCATTCACAATAGAATTTGAAGTTTAAGCCAAAGTTAGTATAAACTGGTATTAACTAAAAGATCAACAAGCATTTTAGTTAACAGCATTTAATTTGGACTCTAAGCATCTCCCATAAGCAAGGACCAGGTTAGGTGCTATGGGAGTTGCAAAGTAAGTAAAACACACCATCTCTGTCCTCCAGGGAACACAGGGTTGGGAGTGGGACAATGGAAGTAGAAACTCAAATGCAGTGACGGAATAGGATAGAGATGGATTTCAAGGAGCCATGTGAGTCTGGAAAGATCTCATGGAGAGACAGAATTTGAGGGCCTGAAGAAAGGCCTTTGGTAAAGTTGGAGGGAACAGTATGGACAAGGGCTCAGAGGCAGGAAAATGAGGGTGTACAAGGAAAACCTCTCAGTGGTAGTGAGAAGGGGGAGACCAGGCTGGGACCACAGAGCAGGACCACACCAGTGAAGGCCTTCGATAACAGGAGAAATTGCCCCCTTTAAGTGATGGGATCTATTGCTTTGGTTGAGAAGGAAAGTGGAAACCAATTTTTATTTTAAAAGCTACTACACAAGTATCTATAATTTATAAACAAATGGCCAGTTTATATACTGGTTTTTAAAAATGTGCTCATTTTAATAAATATCTTACATTAAGTGTTCATTTTGCCAACCAGTTATTCTTTGATTTTCCTAAAATCTATTACTTATTGACAATGAATCTATCTACTCCAAATTCTCAGTACTATAATACTGTTTTTTTAGTTTTGTGTTTTAAAAACCATTTTTGGGTAGAAAGCCTTATTTAAATCATTTATGAAATAAATACAAAGCAAATACATAGTGAAAAATACATTTTAATCCAAAAGTTCTGAACATTAGCATTTAGAAAATTATTTACAATGCTATTTACAATCAGTTTTTCATGTACATATAGAGCTATCTACGGTTGCTTCTTTCTTCCTTTATTTATTTATTTATTTATTTAAATTCATTTAAATAATTGTTTGCTACCTGGGCTGTGTCCTAGCATTTGCTTCTTTCTAAATCACAAACTGTAACTGTATAGAAAAGGGTGACAGTTAAAGCTGCTACAGCTCAAAATCACTATGATCCACTTAGATTCTGACAAATTCTCCTGGGGATGAAAAATGCTGGTTAAGTCAGGACAGGAGAGGAGGCAAGCGTGGACCACCCCCTCCCCTATTCTTCCGTCTGCTCCCTTACTCAACTGGCCTGTGCTGGAAATAAGACCTGCACTGAATTCTGGACAATTTCACGTACAATAGGCCTTCTGAGGCCAGGACGCGCTTTCATTCCTGTTGTTATGGGCCCACTGCAGATGGTTTAACTTTGGGGTAGACTTTAAAGATATCGATGCTAATGACCTATTAATCACTTTTATGACTGCCCAGCCGTCATCCTAATGGTGGTCAAGAACTACCAAGGGGATGTCTGACCAGTACGTGTTCCCCACGTGGCTTTGGTAAAGCTGACTGTCTGTACTATAAAATCTCACAGTTTGACTGGAAACCTCCTTTTGACTGAGAAACGGTGAAGAGCACATCTATTAAGATCAACTAAATGATTCTGAATACCTATTTGGTACTGAAGAATTAGAAGAAAGTTTTTAAAAATCTGGGCTAATAAAATCATCCACCAATCACTTCTCTTACGGTTAAAGAAGCCAAAAGTCTGGCACAGCACTTTCTAGATGAGAAAATGAGTCTCTGTGGCTTTATGACAGATAGATACTGTTGGTCACTGCTACGTTTTATTTCATTAAGCCCTTGGTCAGAAATCCAAACTTTAATTAATATTTTTTTCTTGTAGAAAAATACAATCCATTATGAGAGTCTCTAGAAATAAATTACGAGGACAAATAGACACTATCTTTTCCTAATGGTCTCCCTGGAAATTATAGCGTTTGCCTGGGAAGATACACATACAGAATATAATTTTTAACTTCAAAATATATTTCATTCTTTTCTATCCCTTTTAATTTTCTAAGTGACTGGTAATAAACAATCTAATAATTACTAGATAGTAGGAAAAAACCTTTTTCCATTTAAGAATTTCATTAAAGAAGTATGTGGCCTACCTTATAGTAGTATGAATACAAAATAACTGGAAATCCAGTTTTAATTTGTGTTACAAGTGGTTAGCAACTGTTTCCTTAATAGTTATTGCAGGAGTAGGTCCAACG